TCGAAGAAGTTGTTATGTCCCTGTTAGATATGCCCGTAGAATATTCTCTTGGACATTGTGTAGCGAAAGATATGCATATGAGCGCGGGCATCGCCATAGAGTTTAAGTTACTGAACAAACATTTTAAACGTAAAATATACAGTGATATTTATTTTTAGCTAATCTGTTGATTAATTATGATTTAGGAGGATCTACGGGTGTGTTGGACAGCTGATGGACCAAAGACCAAATGTTGGCACAGTTGCGTATTTGAAACACAAAAATCGATTTATTTATTATTTAATTACAAAGGAATATAGCAACAATAAACCAACATATAATAGTTTAACTGCTGCCATTAAAAAACTACGTGATTTAATTATAAAACACAATGTTAAAAAATTAGCTATCCCACGCATTGGTTGTGGTCTTGACAAATTAGACTGACCAATAGTAAGAGGCATCATTCAAAATGTTTTTCAATACGTAGGATGTACTATCAAAATTTGTCATTTTACACATGTAAGTCTATTTAATTCAGCCTTAATAGAATACAATACTAAGAAATAAAGTAACTAATGTTTTATTTTTTTACAGTATACGTCAAAAGAGTCAGAATTACTTAGAGTTCGACACCCAAGAATTGTAAAAGTCCGTACAGATATCAATGATATTCAAAAACGAGAATTTGAAAAATTGAACATAATATTGTACTCTCGGAAAACTTCGTTACCAGTGTATTGGGATCAACATTTTCAATCAGTTGATGAAAAATACTGCTTTAAGTCTCAATACTATAAGGACTATCAGATGGATCTTGAAGTTGGCCAGTGTTTGTTTTATAGCACATTAGATGCTGCTATATTTATTATAATCACTAACAACGATATAACTGATCATTTTTCATACAAAAACCTAGAAAATGGGCTTAAAAAGGTTAAGATGTTCATTAAGAATGAGAGGCAGTTGCACCCAACAATCAAACTTCATGAATTCCAGAATAATCATAATTTTGAAATTATTGTAAATAAAAAAATTGTATCTCTAATGAGTACTTCTTTCTTAGAACTAACTCCATGTGTAATTTTTGTAATACAAAACTAAAAAGACAATATTCAGTTTGTCTCACTTTATTTATGCTTAGTTACCTACAATAGTACAATACATTTACATTAAGTTAGTTAATATAATTACATACTTTGATTTCATATTATATCTACAATCTACATAATATGAAGGACTTATGGGATTCATCTACATTTTCAAAATTAATGTTTTTTTTTTTGTAAAACTGTTCCAATGTAAATAAGTTTAATTTTTGAAAATAATGTGTTATTTTCAGAATTATAAACATTTGTCATTAGGTATAAGTTGTAACTCTGATAAGGGTCCTATGTGTGACATTAAGTGGTTTCAGTAGAATTTTATATGCAGATCCCCATACAAGGATGCCATATAAAAAATTTAAAAGACAGACTGGACAAATGCAAATTAAACTTTTTAGACTTTGGACGTCTAAGATATTACGTAGTTCTTAAAAAATAAAAAAGCATTACCTTAAACCTATTATAAGCATGTCATGAGGTTTCTGTTTTAATTTTTCATCAAATATCACACCTAAATATTTGGTTAAGCTAACGTTATAGATATACAATCACAGTTTTTATTGCATTCTTTAATTTTAATAATAATAATATATTTTTATTTTATTTAAACTTAGTTATAGGTACAATTAGTTTTGGCAGTTAGGTGACATGAAATATAAATAAATTACTTATACAAACAGAGAATAATAAAAAAAA